AATTCTTCTCTCGCTATACCGTGCCCCTCCCCTTAAAAGTCGCGGCAATGGGAAGATCCCTCGGGAGCCAGGTGAGCCCTTCGCCGCGAGCCCGGGGACCCGCCTGCGCGCCCGCGTGGGGCGCGCCGTCTCGCCGAAAAAGCTGCTTGTCTGGGGACTGAGCGTTTCCCCTCAACGTTTGTTCAAACTTAAACCAACTTGCCGCCAAACAGTCTTGAGGATCAACCTCTTTCCTTTAATACACAAAGGGAAAATCTTCCCGAAATAACTTTATATCAACAGGTTCCTGCTTTTCCAAGGTCGAAGTACTTGGAATTGCCAAGAACTTCAGATCAATCGTAAGGCTGGGGCCCTTGGCGCACTGCCAGTGATGGTCCAGCTCCCAGGGCCCGGGCACCCTCGCTGCCCTCCTCCTCATTAGGCCCGCCAATCCCCAACACACACGTGGACCCACAGCATCTCTCTGCAGTGAGCTTTGTGGGACCTAGCCAAGAGGGTAAGAAAATATTGATGACTAAACGAGGCCGAAAGGCTTGACTTCACCTTGATGGGCTTGAAGCTCTCCGCCACCAAGTAGATCCTGCGTTCCCAAACCCGGCGGGGGCGCAGGATGATGAACCTCAGCTGTGCGGGCTTCAAGCTGACCCAAGAGCCACCAGACGGCGTGGGGCGGGCGAGGGGCGGGGGGTAGGCAAATGCAACTTCAAGGTCAACGTGCCTCAGACTGGGGCTGGAGAGCGGCCAAGGGTGCTCGGGCCTGGAGCGCTGGGGACGCGCCCTGCTTGCGCGCGCTGGACGCGGCGGAGGAGGGCTTGGAGCCTGTACTCCTCCGCGGTTTTGCGACAGAAAGTCCCTCTGGGTCGCCGCAGTCCGTGCCTGACGCGACCTCCCAGGCTGGACTCCGCCGCCGCAGGGTATGCGCAGCAGAGGGTTTCCGTCACTCTCAGGGAATGTGCTTTTCCTGAGCAGCTCCCAAGCGAAAGTTCATGTCATTTTTACCAAACTTTGCTTTTTAGTTTTTAGAATGTTCTCAGATAGATAAATTGAAATGCAGACACACAAGGAAAATTCTCCCTTTCAGAAAACACAGATACTCAAATCCCAGTCTTTTGGGGTTCTCCTAACTTTTAAATCTAGATAAGTAATAAGCTGTTTATCAGGGCTATAAAAATAACAAAGAGGAACTCCTGGCTTTACTCTTTAATGACGGATTAGATCGTGTTCCGTTCTGATTTTACGTGGGTTCCTATTTCAAATTTCAAGCAAATATTAAGGAAGACGATCACTAAGAAATGTAAGTGACCTAAAAAATTAGTTTGGTCTAAAACTCAATAGCTCTGTAATTTCAATGCGGTGCGGCTTGCTGAGTATTTAAGAATCCTTTCAAAGCCGTAGGTGTGTTCCTTCCTGCTGTAACAAAACTGTATTCATCTTTGCACAACATGCGCTGGCGTCTGTAAATTTGGTACTCAACACTCGGCCAAGAATGCTCCCTATCCTGATATGTGTCTACCAACCAGCCTCAATGCGCCAACCAGCCCAGTACCAAGAGCGCCCTGCTGGGTGTCCCTCGATGGCGCCCACCCCACCGTCTGGACCACGGAGTGGCCTGAGCTGCCCCACCATGACTGGGCAGAGGAAACAGTCCCCTGCGTTTCCTGTCCCCCAATCGCTTCGGTAACTCACCCTGACCTTCTCTGAAACTGCACAGACTCAGAGGATTTCGCTTCCAATGTTTAATTTCCAGGGGTCATCTGTGGGTCAGAAGTTTTGGCCGCGGGCTAATTTCCCACCCTTTCTTCCCAGGCAACCAGAAATTTTTTATTTTGGCTTTTCCTCTGCTCTCCTTACAACTTGCTAGTTATAGCAGGAACCCAGGCCCTTTCCCCTCTTCTTGGCAGAGCAAAGTTCAAGCGCAGAGCTTTCTGGAGCTCTTACGGCCAGAGGGTGCTAAGTGAGCAGGTGACGTCAGCCCTTCACTGGCCCGAAACCAGGCGGCGGGCTCCCACTCAAGTGAGGAGAAAGAGCCTAGGCCGTGACTTAGGGCTGGCGACGATTAAACCAGGTAACGAGACACCGGGCAGATGTGTTTTCATTGCTCTGTGAGATAAATGCAGCGTTAAATGCCTGACAACTTCCCAGAAGCAATCAGCAAAAGTTTACGAGTGCATAAACCTCAAAGACCATTCCCCGACGGTTGTTATAAGGCCCACATTTAAAGCTCTTATAAATTCTTCGGCACTTTCCAAAATCTAAGTTTCCAGGGACTATTAAGCAGTCACCTCCTCCGAGGAGACCAGGGGGATTTTCTTGAACCGCCAAGGAAAGAGGTTTGGGGCTCCTACTGAGTGAAATGAAGCTGCGCAAAAGTTTGTTCCGGAAGTTTCGATGGCGGGAGCGGGGGAAGAGGAAGGAGGGCGTGGAAGTGGGGTCCGGGAAGGGCCAGGAGGTGCTCTTCGGCGCTGAGTTATCTGACAGCGGCGTAGGACCGGAGTCTGTCGGGGGTCGCGGATCTAGCGGCACCTTGGCCGCTTTCGGCGGTGGCCCCAGTTTGGCCAGTCCGGTCCCGCAGGGCATAGCCCCATGTGGCGCTCGTAGCTAAACCCTATAGCTCCCACCCGGCCCGGACATGGTAGCTCCTTCACCCTTCTAGTGCCCACTGAGTGGCCGGCAGGAATACAGGCGTCCTGCGGAAAGTACCAGCGCTCTAGCAAGGGGAGCCGGAGGGAGAATCGAGTCAGACACTGGAAACGTGTCTCCACTCCGCCCAGAGCCACGACGGTGCCAGCCTCGGTCCTCCCCTAAGTGGCCAGAGTTCTTTGGTCAGTTAGTATCAGGCACACACGACTCACCTATGTTTATAGAGAACCTTTGTTTATGATCCCGGTGTCAACAAAGCTGCTAATTGAAAAACGGTAACAGGAGCGTGTCGTTGGCTTCCTAAAGCTGGAGGTTAATAGCTGCGCGCGCCGGGGGACGGAGGCGGGAGGGAAGCGGTGAGCGAAGGGCCGCCCCGCACGTCTACGTGCTTTGGGGTCCCCAGGCGAGACACGTGGGCCGGCTCGAGCCTTCCAGAGCCGCCGGCCCGGGTCCCAGGCTGGAAAGCGTCCCGCAGCTCGCCTGCTCTTTCTCAATCTTTGGGATCCAGTCAATCCCAAGGCACGAAGGTAACTGATGACTGCGTAGCATTTCTGTCCCGGTGAGATTGAATCTCAGGCAATTATTTTGAAGATACCGCTGGGCCCGTTTTCCTCAGGTGAAAATGCAGACGTTTCTATGCCGTCCTCACCCCTCCTTTATGATAAGGCGCCCAACTGTTCCGATATTACCATTCAAAAACAGGTTCTGTGGCGAACCTCATTTGTGAATCTATTACAGAGATTAATAGATTATTTCTCCTTTTTCAACTAATTCTCAGTGGGGAAATTTAACCATATGGTAAGGAGAGAATTAGAATTTCATCACATTAGAGCAAAATGTAATGAAAAGAGTCCAACACCTGGGGCCAACTCTGAAAGCCACAATTAAAAGGTTTTTAATGAAACCAGAGAAACCAAAAATTTCATAAGCTTCAGTAATTCTGCCACATAAGAGAGATTTACTGGAGGGTGTTGGGAAATATTGTTTTTACTTATGTCATAAGGATGAAAACCAGCTGCTAAATACCATGTGCTCCCAGACACGGGACACAGGAGCTGGAAGACCGCGTGTACCACTTCCCATCCGAAGAGGAGCACTTATTTTCACACTTCGCCTTCCTCTCCCTCTAAGAACAACCGAGGCAGACCCAGATGTCCCTGAATGGCTTCCTAGCTATGGCGGCTACGTTTCTGGGTAAATAAATATGCACAAATGTCCTCCTTGGTGTATGAGGAGATCTGACTACCGGTGAAGTTGACTCTTCCGAAACAGCTGGATTTTCATCTTGAGGAAAGTTTGAGCCATCAGTTTCTTCCTGTTTAGGAAATCCTGTGCTTCATTTATCACCATCACTGTAGCCGTTCTTTGGAGACGGCTGCAAAAGCACCCCCTCCCTTTAAAAAAATCTAATGGGCTGCATACGCAACTCGATCTTCATTTTCTTTCTCTCCTCCTCCACCCCTCCTCTCCCCTCTCCCCCCGCACCGCCTCAGTCCGGGTAGGAAATGGGCAGGGAGTGGGTGAGCGGGGGCGGAATAAGGCAGTGTGTTCGGGGGGGGGGGGGGGGGGGGGCGATTGCTTTGCTGTCTTACTAGCTAAGAATCTTGGGTGAATTTGGGGCAAGCCAGCGGAGACACCACTTCCCCCCGAAAATCCCATCTCCACATCCAGACCAGAGTCATCCTAGGAACAGGGGTGGAGTATCAGCCTCGCCCGGAAAGGGTCATGTAGCACAGGATGAGACTGTAGTGGCGAGAGAAGGGCAGTGGGGAGGGGGGTGCAGTGGGGGGAGGCGTCTGCTTTCCACGGGACTCCCAGGCTTCGCCGCCGATCTACAATTTGCTGAAGGAGCAAAGAACATCCTCGGCTCTAAGTAGGGCTTTTAGTGTGCTCATTGATGAGTGAAAGTCGCCACACATGTCAAGCTAAAGGCAGTTGTTGGGTTACTAACAGGACCCAGCGCCTTGCAAACATATGCGCTAAGCTGTGTATACAGATGGCAGGCAGAATAATGGAGCAGGCGCCTTTTATAAAGCTCTAGCTGCTGCCTGTCTTCAGACCTGGGAAATGAAACTATTCAGACTCGCGGCCAGATAGCGCCTGCGATTGTTTGTTACCGTTTTAATCCTATTAATTAAAACGTTAACCTGATTGGGTAGAAAGCTCTGTCCCAACAGGCGACTCTTCTTCATAATAACCTACTCAGAGATAATGATGTAAAAGACTCCCCCGTCTGTGGCGGCGGCTGGTTGATGGGTCCGGAAATCTCTTGAAGGTGAATCCAAGCAAGATAAACGGTGCGGAGAGAAGGCGCGGGGCTGGGCTCAGAGCGGCGGCGGCGGCGGCTCCACTCCCTCCGCACCCACCCTCCCACCATGCGGGGCCGCGGCCCATGGTGAGCCCCAGCAGGCAGCACCATCGGCTGGAGACGAAGAAGAAGAAGAAGAGGAGGCGGCGAGCGCGGGGGAAGGCGAAAAAGAAAAAGAAGGGGAGAGGGCTGCCAGCAGCACCGGGACCGACGCGCGCACCAGCCCCAGAGCCCGGCTCGGGCGCGGCTGCGGCGCCGCCCGACTCCCGAGCCCAGGCGGCGGCGGCCGGCGCTGGACCATGGAGCGCGGGCTGCACCTCGGCGCGGCCGCCGCGGGCGAAGACGACCTCTTCCTGCACAAGAGCCTGAGCGCCTCCGCCGCCAAGCGCTTGGAGGCGGCTTTCCGCTCCCCGCCCCCGAGCATGGACCTGTCCCTGGCGCCGCCGCCTCGGGAGCGCCCGGCGTCCTCCTCCTCGTCGCCTCTGGGCTGCTTCGAGCCGGCTGACCCCGAGGGGGCAGGGCTGCTGTTGCCGCCGCCCGGGGGAGGCGGCGGCGGCGGCGGCGGGGTGGGCGTCCCCGGGCTGCTCGTAGGCACCGCCGGCGTTGGGGGCGAACCTAGCCTGAGCAGCCTGCCGGCTGGGGCCGCTCTGTGCCTCAAATACGGCGAGAGCGCCAGCCGGGGCTCGGTGGCCGAGAGCAGCGGCGGCGAGCAGAGCCCCGACGACGACAGCGACGGCCGCTGCGAGCTGGTTCTGCGGGCCGGCGGCGCCGACCCGCGGGCCTCCCCGGGCGCGGGAGGCGGCGGCGTCAAGGCGGCCGAAGGCTGCTCCAACGCCCACCTCCACGGCGGCGCCAGCGCCCCCCCGGGGGGCCCGGCCGGCAGCGGCGGCGGGGGCAGCAGCGGCGGGGGAAGCGGCGGCGGCGGCAGTGGCGGCGGCAGCAGCAGCAGCAGCAGCAAGAAATCCAAAGAGCAAAAGGCGCTGCGGCTCAACATCAACGCCCGGGAGCGCCGGCGGATGCACGACCTGAACGACGCGCTGGACGAGCTGCGCGCGGTGATCCCCTACGCGCACAGCCCCTCGGTGCGGAAGCTCTCCAAGATCGCTACGCTGCTGCTCGCCAAGAACTACATCCTCATGCAGGCGCAGGCCCTGGAGGAGATGCGGCGCCTCGTCGCCTACCTCAACCAGGGCCAGGCCATCTCGGCCGCCTCCCTGCCCAGCTCCGCGGCGGCGGCGGCGGCGGCCGCTGCCCTGCACCCGGCGCTCGGCGCCTACGAGCAGGCTGCCGGCTACCCGTTCAGCGCCGGGCTGCCACCGGCCGCCTCCTGCCCGGAGAAGTGCGCCCTGTTCAATAGCGTCTCCTCCAGCCTCTGCAAACAGTGCACGGAGAAGCCTTAAACACCCCCCACCCCCGAAAAACATAAGACCGACCCCAAAGCTAGAGGAGAGTGAAAAGCTGCTCCCCAACCCCCTTTATTTGGTCCTCTCGTAGTCGTGAAACACTTGCAGAGAAAACAAAGCAGAGGCGAGAACTGCGGAGAACTATCAGAGACAAACGGGACTTCTGGCCTCGACATCCCCAGAATCTCGGTCTTCGGGGTGGGGAGGGAGGGAGGAGGGAGGTGGAGTTGGGATAGAGTATGGATGTCTTTTTTTCTCGGAAAAGTGGCAACTTTGGTGGCAGCCTAGACCGCGAGGAAGCAGAGTTTTCCTTTAAGGGTAAAAAATAAGTTGAGAAGTAGGTGTTATTAAGCGTGGAGAGTATTACGTGGCAAAATAGTAATCCTACTAATAATTGTGAATTTGGCCAGTGCTGAGGGGGAGAGGAGTCGTCCGGGGTTGGGTGGCTTGTGGCACGGAATATTCATTCAGACAAATCAGAAAGGGCACTTGAAAATAAATTTTGATTCTGAGCCAGGAGAAAAACTTGAAATGTAGATTTATTTAAATGAAGAAAAGAAAAACAAAAAACAAAAACAGGAAGAGACACGTTGCTATGAAAGACTTGTATTTTTTATTGTCTCTGAACTTTAATCCTGTGAAAATGCTCAAAAGTTTTGGCAAGAGTGATATTAAAAAAAAACTGACTGTGGCTGAAAGAATTGCATTTAAAAATATTTATGTGCACCTTGTTACTTTCCACTCTGCAATGATGTATTAACGATTCATGGTATTTATTTGTTATTCTTCAATGACCCTTCCACATCAACAGTATTTATCCTGTGTTAAGGTCATGGGGTCTTATGTGCAGATTTTTTTTTAATGCCTCTAAAATTCTGTTTTATAGATTAACTTATATTGTGTGCCAAGTGTTTAAAAGGGTTTATTTGCCAACAAGTATGAAGAGACATATTGATGTATCTGAGCTGCTTAGGTTTATCAAAGGTCACCTGGATATCTTCAGCTGCATCATCCCTGTATTTAAATTGAGCTTTAATAAATTGCTTCAGTCCAAAAATTACAGGAAAGGTGTATTCTTAATTGATGAATGAATTGATCTCTTTTTTTGAAAGGGGACTCCTTTGCATTCTAAAAAGGAAAGACATCACAGCAATAGATCCTATAAGTAAGAACATGCTAAGCAAATATTTTTCCAGGCTGTGCTGTGCATTTTTAAAAGGTCTAATTTAATTGCTTTTAATATATGTATACATATATAAGTTATTTTAACTGGAGAATTATTTAAGTTGAAAGACTGGTTTGATTTGCCTATGGTGTCAAATCCTTTGTTATTTTTCTAAAAAAATTTTTAAAAGAAATAAAATAAAACTAAGGAAGAGCAAGAAGCTATTTACCCAAAGCGAGCTTTCAGTTTTAGTTTGCATGGCTGTTTGCCTGCCTTTCTATCCTACGAAAATCAAGAAAACCTTTTTTAAAAATGGAGTCCTGCTATTTTCCACTCCTTGCAGATAATACTAATTCAGTTTGTCAGGTTGGATGGTGAGTGGGGAGCTATGATGGATCTATTGGCGGGTTTTGGATGTGTAAAGAATGATATATATATTAAATAGGTCAATCAGACTATGACAGCTATGTACAACCATTTGTATGTGTATCTATGTCAGAGAGAATCTTTATTAAAATATTTTGATCAAACATTTCATTATGCTGTGCTTTGTGGAGGGAGCAATCACCTCTCTTCTGTGTTACTCTTTGCTTGAAAGGTAACAAAAAAGAAAGGAGTTTCAGAGAAGGTGGAACTAAAGTTTTGTCAGGGATACACAATTAGGAGCAGCCCTAGTTCACTTGTTTACTTGTTAAAGGACGATGGCTGGGCCTGGTCATTGGAGGATTGATAAATGGGGTCAGTGGTGAGACCCAGAGGAGGTCCAGAGCTCCTGTTTGCTGGCACGAACTTTGAAGGCCCTGCCCTCCCTGGAATTCTTCTCCCACTCTGTATGGCATTGTTAACTACCATGCCCGGGCCCATCAGAGAGGGTAAAGTTTCTTAAAGAGTTTTTATCAAAATTTCCATCTCCAACTTCCTAAAAGCCAAGGAAAAGCAATGGATTTGGATTCTCTGAGGATGGATTGTATTGTGGCTTCTTCCCCTGCTTTTTTTTTTGTGTGACAGAAGAATCAACCAGGTTGAATTATATGCGTAAACAATGCCCATAAGATTTTTTAAATGTTCTAGTGTTGCTTGTTAATGAGATTTGTAAGGGAGTATGTTTGGATTGGGTTGGGCGTTGATTCTATTACAGAATGTCTGTATAGGCTTGTATTTGGACTTTAATAATGCCCTCAAATTTAGAAGGTTTGATTTTTATTGTGGTGGAGGTTAAAGAGACGGTGATGGTGAAGTTATAGTGTTTCCTCTGTAGGCAGTTTGCTAAATGCGTTTTGGTCTGTGTAGCCTCAGCCCATAATGATATCCCTAAATGCCATCAAACTTAGTGGGGGGTGAGGGAGGGTATTTTCTGCTCCACTTGCCATCAAAAAAGATTAATCAGAACCTGTAACTTTTCAGAAAATATAACAGCAAAGGGCCTTGAAGCTGAAGCCCTCCCAGTCTGGGAGTGGGAGTAGAGGGAGGGAAGAGACCAGGGCAGCCCCCAGGCAGGAGGAGACCCGTCTCTCAGCATTTACCAGACAAAGCCTGGGTGCGTCTAATTATGATTATTAAAACAATTTCCATGACGATGTCTAATATTATGTTAATTTGAAAACAACTGTGTATGAAAACTGTCTACTATAATACCTAAATTCATTTAATGAAACACATCGTTAAGGCAATTAAACCTCCTGGATGTGATTAAGAAACATAATTATGACACTGTTCTGGGCCATAATTGGGTGCCTTTAATCAAGGGGTAAAGTGATCAGCAACACAGCCATTAGTTTGTATTGTTCTGGCCCTGCTGTCCATCATTCTGATTAGGAATTAACCACAGCCGCCATCAGTCGAATTGTTTTTTTTTCTTTTTGCATGTTAACACTGTAGGGGACACATTCGCTGCAAGATTCAACTGCTTAATATTTCTCATTATTAAGAAGGCCTCCTTGATGTATTCCCTCTGTAACCTCTGTGCTGTTCAACTAGTATTAGAAATAGTACAAATAACAAATTTTGAACTTCAGGAGAAAAAGGAAAGCTCACCCTCCTTTCACCCTTTAATTACTCAGTCTCCAGCCCTTAGTCCTGAAGGAGACTGGAAATGATTGGGGGTCGGGGAAAGGAGAGGATGTTGAGAATAAATCGGAGTGTCAGACAAATATGTACAATTGTTCAAAGTAGCAGGGTTAATACTATTTATTTTCATTTTGATAATTTCAGACAAATTAATTCTCTTTCCAAATCCAGGAGCTGACCAGCGTTGGGTTCTAGGAATAAATGTGGGACATCTAAAAGGGGCAGGGGAGGACTTTTCGGTGATTTACTTAGGCGGCTTTCCCTGCGCTAACCCCAATGTTTCCAAAGTTTCATTAGCAGCAGATTTTAGGGAAGGAAACCAATGATTGAAGAGAAAATTCTTCCCACACCCGGCAAAACCCCCGGCCGCTTTCCGGGGCCCCTGGACTCCTGGATTTCAGCCCAGTATGGAAAGTTGGCCCACACACTTGTGGGCCCCAGTATGTCCTTCCAGTGTGCATCATCTACTTCGGGACTGGGTGACTGAATACCAGGGAATCAGTGTGGTCTTGCTGAAGTGCCCTTGGGCCAAAACAGAAATCCTGGCCCCTAAAACTGCGGCGTCTGCCAGAGAACCTCGGTCAGCCCCAGAGCCTTCGTCCACCGCGCTTTGGGGCGTTTCTCCCGGGAGCAGGGGACGATCCCCGCTGCTCAGGTTTCTTAGGAAACTGACACTGGGCAGAGGAGGCCGAGCGAGGAGCCAGAGTCCCACCTGGGCTTTTATTCCACCGGTTTCCTTCTCTAACTTCTGTCTAATTTCAATTTCCTTCTCTAATTTCGAATTCCCATTTAGGTCTCATCTCCAGCTTGACATGGGGTACCTACAGGAGTGAAGCGCGTTGAGGCTTTTCGTGGACTCCTACAGGACCAGCAAATGATCACCTTCGAAGAGCTCACTAGTTACCCCTCCTCCCTCCCCGTGGTGCCTGTGTGTGTGTGTGTGTGTGTGTGTGTGTGTGTGTGCGCGCGCGCGCGCGCGCGCGCTCAGCAATGCGCTCTCCACTCTCAGTAGCTGGGCATCCCCTCCAAGACCCTGTGTTGAGCTTAAATTCCGCTCCCTCCTATGGCACCCGGCACCCATCCTTCCTGCCAACAGCTCTCTAGGGAGGGCCAAGGCTCCACAGGGTTCCTGTCTCCGCGCTCACGGCCCGGATGCCGAAACCCAACCTTTCTACGCGCCCGGGACCCTGAGATTGCTCCAGCAAGAGTGGCATTGACTTTTCCAATGTAATGACTTATGAAAGATATAATCATGTGTTAAATTGAATCCTCCGTTTAACTGTTAATGGTGTGCTCTGGGCACATTTACGTATTAGATGCTATGGTAACTAATTACCACTAGGAAAAAGGATAATACACTTCCCAGACTTTGAAAAATAATGATGAGAGTTCACTTCCCGGCTCGCAGCACACAGTGGCGGCTCTGCCGGGCGGAGCGGCAGAGCGGAGACCCGAACGTGTGCCGGTGGAAGGAGGGAGGTGATGAATCCTGGTCGGGAGAGGCTCCTTGGTAAAAGCTTTCATGAAAATGCGATTCAATGGGGAAGTGAGGGATGGGGAGGGCCCACTATACAGTGCTGCCTCTAAACAGAATTAAATTGCAAAACAAACGTCAGAAAGAGAAGTATTCTTTTAATTAAAATGCAGGTCAGGCTGAATTAATCACATGCCAAGCAACTTTACATCAATTAACATTTTTTGTTGTGTGGGCAAAATACATGAGCCCGTCTCCTTCAAGGTCTGCGTTGGCGCTTATAACTTGGATGCCCCTGGATCCGCCAAGCCAATGAGCTGCGGGTTGATTTAAAGCTGGCCTTTTACATCAGACATTGGGCACAGTCGAAGGAAACGGGAGGGAAAACCAGGAGACAGCAACTTAAGGGTAAAAACAATTCTCAGGGTAAGAGTCTTTTCCTCTCCCCGCCGGATCTCTCTGGCTCTTCGAATCGGTTGATGAATGTTTACAAGAACCAGGGTTCTGTAGACTGTGCAAAATAGCCAGGTGTCTGTTTCGCCCCAGGGCCAGGGCCAGTGTTTGTGCTGGGACCCGGGAGGGCAGGAGGAAGGAGGGGGCGGCTTTTCCCACAGGCCAGCCTGCCAGCCCAGGGTTGCAGACAGAACGACGTCCACAACACGAGTGCCCACCGCGCTGCTTTGCTCAGGCTGCGCCCCGGGAGGGACTCGGGATCCGCAGCCGCAGAGCACCCCTTCTCCTGGTCCGTCCCCTGCACTGACGTCCTGGGCCCCTTCTGCAGGGCGCAAGGCCCTTCAACCTCTAAGTGCCTAGGGACAGAACGCGAACTTCGGGGGCTCTGCCTCAAACTGTCTTTCGAGGGGAGGCACTAGGATGGGGTTGTCCCCTGACCCCCGTGGCCTGGAGAGTTCACCTGCAGATGACAGGCTTGTAAAAAGCACCCCGCAGCCGAGCCAATCCCGGGAATTCTGTGAAGGCGTCCCAATTTTAAGCCCCAAAGAGCTCATCGCTTCCTAGCAAGGCAAAGAAAGTGTGCTCGCTTTCCTTGAGGCTCGATTTTGGTTAAATTCTATCACTTTTTCTAAATGACTCGTCTTAACATAATCCAGGAGACTGTGGACTATTGCAGAACTATCAGGTCCCCCTGAGTGCGTGTGCATGTGCCTGTGGGACTTTTCTTTCTTTCCTCTCCCTTGTGTTCCCGAATTCCGACGATATAGAAATACAGATTAGAGAGCTCTGGAAGAGAAATTACTGGGCTGGGAAGGTTAGACTGCAAAGGGAAAGAGGGTTTTGTGGTTACCAGCCCTCCAGCCCCCAATATATAATGGACAAGCCTATCTTAGAAGTCACCAGGATGCTCAGATGGGGAGTTGGCTTTTATTAGTCACAAGGTGATATCGTTTTCCTTCCCAGCTTGGGAAAGAGTTAATTCTTTCCCAAAGACCATAGTTGCCCTTGTCTTCTCAACCTGATTCAGAGATGCAATAAAAGATGAAGCAAATTTATGATCTGTTTCAAGCACTTTATTGCTGTATTTTTAAATTCATATATGCACATATAAGAACTACGATCTGTGAATAATTTGAAATGTGATACTAGAATGATGCATTCTAGATAAAACATAACCATATCTTTATATAATTGTCTCAGATTAAAAGAAAAAAGAAAAATAGATTTCTAATGTGGCCCAAACTGAAAAACTAATGACAACCATAAACTGCTAACTAACCATAAATGAACATCTTGATCAAATGCTCAAATGGTATCAGTGGTTTATATAAAGCAATTATTATTTCTCTTTACAAGTTTTAGAATAAAGTTCAGGGATATTTAAAGGACCCATTATTTACCAATGCTTCCCAATCTTAAAGATTTCATATTTTATTAGGAGGATGGTTGCCACTCAAATCTGCTATGTTAATAGGGATGTTTAGAGATGAGAATTTAGTTTTAAACATAAAAATGCTTCATGGCCTAACCTCATTTTA